TAGGCTTGGGCTTTGGATTAGATGAAGTGTCTCATCAGTTGCTTGGGTGTGTAAGATGGGAATATTTGGTTCCAGCAAAATATAAGCTTTACTTATAAGGTCATGGAAGTCTCATCCTCAAGGAGATATACGAAATTTCGTTGGCTGGACGAAACCCTAAGCAAGATCCTCTTTTGATGGCGCTGGCGTTGTGTGCCAGGTAGTGTGTACTATCTTGGCGTATAGAAACTTGTTCAAATACAATTCTCTTATCTTTGTTCCTGTAGGTACCATGTCTGCGACACGACCATTAAGGTCAAAGAAGCGGGGGACGGTCCAAATAAAGAACTTATTGTGGCGAAGAATCAATATCTCAGTCAGCTGCATAAATCTGCTTTTGGTATTGTCAATGAAGTGCGTTTCTTCTAAGACGGTCATTTCTGAAATTCAAAGAAATGTACTCTATCATCCGCTTAGGTTTGCCGAATCCCCACACATCTTTTCACATTTGTCAAGTATTGTGAATTGGTCTCTCAGTCAACACAGCCCGAAGAAGGGAAGAAATCTACTGGATGGGGTAGACTCATGAGAACTACCATCCAAAACTGGTAAGTGCTGGATTCAGCATTAACAATTGAACTATGTATCAGAAACCATTATCTGTACCTTCTCCCCAGGTATGCTAGCAAAACTCCTGAGCTTCTTGCTATGCACCTTACCAAGTATCCTCAAAGAGGTGGTTGGTCTCATCGTGATCTCTTCCGTTTGGCTCACCCAACTCTAAAGGAGAAGAAGAATGAGAACTCTATCTTGGAATACGAACAACTATATCACTTTGCTGTCAAAGGTCAGTCAGTCCTATTTCATCATTTTTTTAGTCGAAGGCGTCATCTGGCCGAAGCTTTTTTTTGTTCAGACCTATTCATAGAAGTAAATGGCTTTGACTGTATTTTACTACAAGGTCGTAGGGCACATTATAGTCTTCGAATGCCAGAGTGAATATCAAGTTATTCATCTCGTAATTTCATATTACCATACAGGTGAGCTAAACACACGAAAGCGCAATCTGCCGAAGGAGGAAGCTGAT